AAWWAAAWTATTTATAATTCAAATCATGTGACTCAATGGGCAACTTTAATTATACTGTTCTCATGTCTCCAGGGGTGCCCCCAATTATTTTGATATTTTTTCTTTAATTCCTGAGAATAAAATAATGAGAATTAATAACAGCAAACACATACCAGTATGAGAGTCAGAAATCAGGGAATGTTATGGATGGGTGAATTATAGGAAATTGGAAGGAAATTGCAGATTAGCCCCCCAATCAAAAAACTGCTCTGCTACCTCTCCTTGTTTTAAATAGTTACCAAATTTCTCTTGCCTTTCTCACCATTTTTTAAGCTCTTTAAAATAACTATCTTTGTGYAATTTTGTCATTGTTGCAAGAGTAAACAGYAAGAGAGAKGCGATCAAGTCTCATTGCTCTTTGGCAAAGKCATGGTGAATGAAAAATAAATGTAGTTCTAAATGTCTACAACTGATTGACATAAGGTGAATATTCTCAATAATATTTTTCTAAGCTCACTAATGCTCTTCTGAGATGTAGATATAAAATATATAACATACCTGAAATATGATCTTGATTGTAAACACAGTTGGGGCTCCTGTGTGWTTTCTGTGTACGGATCTTGGGATTCCTGTGGAAAATTGACAAAGATGGACCAGCTCCTCTGAAGATGGACGGTGAGATGATGGGGCAGTGCACCTCTCATAAAAATCCTTGTAGAGTAACCGTACGCGATCTCGTCGATATCATTACTGCACCAGATAACGAAAAATATAAGATTTTGAATCGACCATACGACCTAGTGTTCGAAGGAATCTACATTGGAAACGAGTAAGTGACTGATAGCGTAATGTTATTTTCCAATGAAATATTTCATGTTATATTCTTGTTGACCTTGTWTCATTATGACTGTTGAAAACGACGATTGAACAGTTTTATTGTACCCATTTTATCCAGAATAACAGCACTGAATGAAGATCAACTGCGTGATCTTGGAGTGACCCATGTCTTGAATGCAGCTAAAGGAACAAAACCCTTCTCTCATGTAAACACAAATGCTGACTTTTACAAATCAGGGATAAAGTTCCTTGGAATACCTGCTACAGACGTTCTGATGTTTAAAATTAACAGATACTTTAAAGAATCATCAGAATTCATTGAAAATGCCATCGGAAGCAAGAGTGGTGGTCCAAGGGAAGGATGTGTATTTGTTCATTGCAAGGAGGGAGTTAGTCGATCAGCAACTTTGGTTCTTGCATACCTGGTTACTTACCAAGATTTGCATCTTACAGATGCTTTTAAAACTGTAAGATCCAAAAGAAAGATTTCACCAAATCCTGGTTTTCTCCAGCAACTGATTGATTATTCTAGAACASTTGATCACTGTTATTGACAAGACTCTGAATGTAAACTGTTAAGCATATGGGCTGAATGGCAGAAATTGAAAAGAAAGAAAGCAATGAATGGATAATGTGCAGGATAAATATTTATATTGTAACAACATCAACTCAACTAGTACCATATATTTTAGAAGATATAGACAAACATCTGGGAAACGTTTCAATCGAAGAAAGAACATAACTGCATAGAAATTGTAAAAAAAAGCTTTTATAACAATAAGCCTCATTTGTTATTGCGTGATGTGTCTTCTGTGTCACGCGTGACATGGAAACACTACGTGACAAGGTATGACTACTAGTCACGTCCGTGTTCTTGGGCTTTCTGAGTGTTTTGATTCATATTCTAATCTGTGTTTTAGTAAACAATTTCAAGATACTTAGATGATTCATCTATTGCTCATTTATTTAAACAGTAGCGACTGTCCTTGCATAGGAGCACTGTTATTATATTTCTGCCAATACGGCTGAAAATCTCGTTTATTAAACAGTGAATCACTCATTTTCCTTATAAGTTTGACGATTTTACTGTTACTGTAGTGACATTTTTTCAAAAGAAAGATCATAGATAAAAAGTAAATAATAATAAAGACAGAGAGAGCGATAAAACAAAATCAAAGTTCTTTTAAGGTATTTTCAGAGTTTCCTTAGATCTTTGTGTTTGCAAAACAATATTTCTTTATGTGCAACTGCTTTGTGATTTCCTCGACGTGAGCATGAAATAATCGCGTGAGAGGGAGCTTATAAGCCTCGTCACGAAACAACAATAAACGTGTGGAAAAACCCTGAAAATATCTACCACAAGAAGAAAGTAAATCAACTTTTTGATTTTAAGTGAAGATTCACRATAGCATAAAACATTAYACATCATGCCTTCACAGTTTAAGGTCTTTGTCATGACGTGCTTTAACTTTATTTACGTGATAACACGAACATCGCATGCATTTGCGTTTGATAATATGAGCATTTTGATTGGTCCTTGGAGTGTCAATCATTTACGTARCTATGGTTACATAGAACTATATAAACCGGTTCACCGAATAAACGTTTTATATCTTTTGTTTAGTATTTGACGTGAGGTTCGGTTCTCCGTGGCAAACAGAAAATCCTCAATTTTTGGACGAAAGTTCCAAAMATATTTGCTGGAGGTTTTCCAATTTACCTTGCTGTAGGACAGAGAAGTCACTGTTTAAATACAGCAATTTTACTGAAAAAGATCTACGCACGAGGGACAATTTGTTGCGTTACTTTTGAATAGAATTCACCTCTGGTTGGATTTGAGATATCGAACAACTATGTGTTTTGATGAAAAGAACTTCGACTCAAAAGAAGGTTTTGTTAGCCGTGCRATTGAAAAACGTGTCCGTAACAAACGCCGACGTGATCCTGATATGTATGTGGATGTGTTGTTGTCGTCCACTGTCAAAAGACTGAAATATGAGCTTGTCAATGAACAGTACCAACGTAAGCAACTAGACGAGCGGGAAATTTCCCAAATTCCAAAAGACAGAGACATCTTTTCCTCAAATGTATCAATACAAAAGGAATTACCTGAGGAAAGTGAGGTGAAAATAGCTGTGGAGTGCTTGCAGTCTACATTATCAACMTTGGATGCTGAGATTCGAAGCGAGTCATTGAGGAGTGCAGGTACATTCGCCACGAATACAACGAGAGAACATTCTATTGTAAACTCAAAGAAAAGTTCAAATATGGACAGCAGCAATAAAAGTACAGTTTTTTCCGATAATACAGAAATAGACATTGAATGTAAAACAGATTTTCAACCAAAAGTGAACGATGATGAAGTTGATTTCGATACATTGATGCAAAGTTTACTAGACATTTGCGAACCGTTGAATGACAATGTGGACGATCTCATGAAAGAATATTCAATTGATCCCTTAAGCTCTGGGACGTTTGACTTTCTCAATTCAAATGATCCCTTTTTACCGGGGATGCTTGAAGTGATGTGCTCGTAGCAGCAGAAGGAGAGCGATGATGATGAAATGCCCTTATGAATATCAATTTATGGCTCCATTTGCAAAATACTCGATTCGATTCTACATAGCCTAAATTATTTAATAAAACTTTTCTTTTGTAGCAAATCTACAATGGAGAGTGCTGAAAATTTACCTCATCATAGCACTGGATCTAGAAAATGTTGGACTCTTGTCCTCTGCCTTCCAGTGCATTCTGGAATATAAAAGATTGAGGAGTGAATTCCCAATTGTAATATTGTATTTATTGTCAGAGTGACATTTCTGTATATACCATGTTTATAAAATGAAGAATTTTATCATATTTAAAGAAAAAAAGAGTATTTTATGCTCTAATGAAGTACATATTTTGCATTGCCAAATTTGGAGTTGAGATCTCTAAGGCGTTGCAAAGTACCTGCTCTAGGTTCATTATATTAAAACCTCTGGAGAAATATGTAAATCTGTTATTTTGATACAAGGAATCAGCTGCTTTTACAAAATAATGCTCTAATAACTTTCTTACAAAACTAACATAAAGAAATTCCATTGCAGTTTCTTTGTTGTATCTGATATTTCATAAAATTAAAATAAACCACTAATTGATGAATAAAGAAATGAAAGGCATTGGCTATTAACCAAATTAGACCAGTTACAGCAGTGGTTTTTGAAACCAGTATCCACACCAATGGGCAAATAAATTGGTATTGTTATAAATTCTTTTGTATTGTAATATATTTTAATGTGGCATGTACTGGTACATCACAAATAAAACTGACTTTGCTCTAGCTGTAACAAGTACTCAAATGTATGGATTGAAAGTGTGAGCATGGATGTATGGTACACAATAATAACACTGACTATAATGCATACCTAGTGTTCAATTGCCCCAGAAATGTTCAAGACAATAGCCGACTTGCGAATTACGCATCAATAGTCACATACAAAGGAATCAAGACGAGGCGCCGTGCTAAAGACAATAGATTTTTCACAAAAAAGCACGGCGCCTCGTCTTGATTCCTTTGTATGTGACTATTGATGCGTAATTCGCAAGTCGGCTATTGGGATGATCTTATAAACACTAGACCGAAGGGTCAAAAAATGCCTTTATCTATCTTTTAAACTGGACAAAGAATAGTCTTAATAAACACACCCATATTTTCATACTAGCAAACTTTATTTGGTTTAACTGAATATAAAATAACTGTCTTGTTTTCCAAATAATACATTTCATGTTTTCTCTATAGACATCGACTTTTTACAACTGCCTCACGTTTGAAAGACACATTTTAGGCCATAGTAGAGCGATCCCACTTAAACGGTGCAACAAACTAAATAGTGCTATTTTGTTGTATAGTAAATTGTGCATGCAGTAAGCAAAATGAATTAATGAAGCATTCAATAACATCGTGCTTCAGGTCAACTTTGAGTACAAATTAGTACTACTTAGATTTTGTTCAGTTGCACCCTTTAAGTGCAATCAGTCTATGTNTATTCTAATAAAACAAAAAGTTCTTACTTAAATTGTGTATGAAAATCTTATCAGTGTCTTTGGGTATAAATTTATTTCAACTGAGGAAAAACTGGAACTTTGGAACTACACAAGAAAAAAAATTAACTAGAACTAAGGTTAGTTGTGTGTACATATACATTATTTACCCATGATATGCAGGCTAAAGTGACTAAGACTCATACTGCAACTAAGTGAAAGTTACAGTTGTATTTGAACTAAAATTACATAACTTTGTAAAAAATACTGGAATATGTACACTATCCCTCACTAATAATAACTTAGTCATGCTTGATATTCCAGTGAAGGAACTTAATATATATTGACATTTCATAGATTTCTATATATGGATCATACTCTTGTCACTCAGACTAGAAGAGTATCTTAAATTTACACACTTCTTCTCATTCTTAGTACCTAAACTTGTAGACCAATAGTAGTTTTGATAGTAAAATATTAATAACTATTTGAATATTTCTAATCCTGCATTTCTTCAGGAATATCATGTGGGTTGATTATGCCAGGAACTGCCATTTGCACTTTGCGCTTTTCATCTTCAGCTGTTTTTAGCTGTGACTCCCTCTCTTCTAAGTACAGGTCAGTGGTATCTTCTGATCTATATTCCTGTGGAATAATAAGCTTATTTATTTACTAGACTCTTGAAGACAACAAAGATTGGCATCAAATCAGGGCACGAACCCAGCTACAGGCTTTAATAAAGTTGATATTGTGAAATACAAACCTTTATTTGTACTAAGAAGTCTCGTAAATGTTCCTTGAATGCTGGGATATCTTGGTTTAGGTTAAACAAACCTTGTACTGTTATTTGAACTTGTTGACTAGAACATCATGAAAGAAATAAAAATTGAATTAAAATGAAATTTACAAGATTAGGAATTTAGCAGTAGGGACACAGTTGATACTTACTCTTTTAAGTGAGGAAAAGCTTGTTTCAAGATATTGGTGATATAGCTTTGAATATATGCCTGTGGAATAATGTTATATTCTTCAATATAGTTACTTGCAATGAGTTCTTGTCCAAAAATCGAGTAAGTTATTTCACTATTTTTTACAGTGTAAACTTTATCTTATTTCACAACTGATTATGGCGAAAAACCAACTAATCAATAAACACAGCATCAACCAATTTGAATGTCAATCAATCTGTTCCATTCATAATATTCTATTTACAATTAAAAATTATCAATGCAATTCATAAAGTACCTTGTTGGATGGAAACTGTGCATCGGCAGCATTAAATAATGGCTGAGTAATCTTTTCTGATTCTGCGAGGCTAAACATGTGYGCTAATATTGTTGCATGCATTGTAAGACCTGATGAAAAAAAAACAACACTTATCAAGTCTTTGAGTTGTCAATGGCAATATGTCTTTTTCCCTTTATTCAAAGATGAATTTGACCTTCATTTCATTTAGGTGGTTATTACAAAGAATACAAAATGAGTTTGCTGTCTAAGTAAACATACATCTATTTATTGAATTTTCATTAAATTTTAATGTAGATTCAGACATTGACTCATGTTTGCATTATCTATGCCAATGTTATACTTGATAGACAAAACAAACAAATTTGCCAAGGGTACCTGCAGTATGTGATGTATCTGTGACAACAGACAGAATATGTTGTACAATCATCATATAATAAGTTTGATAAAAACTTTGTGCAGCATCTTCATTCTCAATATTCTTGACAAGTGAAAACAGAATTTGAAGACCTGATGACAAATAAACATATTATCAACACTATATTATTATACTAGATTACTAAGAATAGTTTTGAGTTGGTATATGAGTACAAGATGCTGACTAACCTGTATCAGCAACATTTCTCATTGTATGCTTGAATGCCCAGATGATAGAGTCTAGCACAAGCTTGAACTGTTCAGGAGGTATGCTTATTAGAGCTGCAAAACACAGGAATATCTATTTAATCTTAGTCAACAACATTCATGTTTTTTCTTGTCCATTTTCTTCTTTTAAAAACAACAGTAGCATACATGTAATATATCCCATTTGGTATGTTTATTACAAATAGTTTATCCTGCTGCTASACGTCTGAAGTAAATACCTTTGAAACAATGTTGCATCACAGCTTGYAAAAGCAGGAAGAAGTTTGTTCTGTGTTCTGGGAACTCCTCAAAGTCCTAGTGAATGATAGAATACACATTACTRTCAATTAACCAACACACTTAATACATTTATCTATGAGTGAGTTATAAACACATACCTTGTTGATCATGTTGAGAGTACATTCAAAGACAGCGTCAAATATTTTTGGAACATCTTTAGTAACATGGTTCTAAAACAATGTTGAAAACACTCTTAGTTAYATAATAGTTGCTGATGTTTAATAGAAGAGTGAGTCTACCTCTAATTTATTGATAAACGTTGCCATAGTACTGAGTACTTCAGGTTCTCTGGCACCAGGAACATTACGTTGGTAATCCCCTAACACTGCATCAAGTAAGGGRGGAATGAAGTTATCACACACCAGTTTAGGGTCATTTGACTTGCTAACCCAAGTTGATATCAATCTTAACACCTCAGTTTTAACTGTTCTCATGGCCCTTATAAGGGGTTGCTTCATGACTAGTTCACCATTTTTAGTAATTGCCATAGAGATATTTTCACTTAAGCATCGATATACATTAAGCATGTCTAGGTAAATRCGGCCAAGCTGAGTGACAAATGGATGGCCAACAGACTTGCATCCACGGACGTTTGTTTTGAGAATGTTTCCTAATTGTTTAACAACCTCTATTTCTTTCAAATGGTCAATATTCTAGAGTGAACGATAAAGWTGAATCAGTACATAACAACATAATATAGCAATGAGGAACTGGTACATACTCTTGTTGCCTCTCGGATGATATTGTCCCAAGCTTGGTTTGGTAATGCCATATACTTTTCAATCAATCTTTCCATCACAACTGGGTCCTTTGTACAGTAAAACAATGCACTAAGTACAAATCTAATTATCCAAGGAAAATATATACTGTGCTTACATTCTGTGCACTGATCATATATCCTACTGCCTCATAAAAGGTGTGCACTTGCAAAGGCTGAAGATCACAGATGATTGATTGAGTGCTGTTGAGAATTTCTTCAATAAACGGCATTACCTCGCCAACTTGAACCTGAAAATTTAAACATACTTGATTATTGTATCTGACTTACATTTAAGAGCTCAAATCATCTAGTATATGAATTACCTGTACAAAATGCCGTTTGCACTTTTGAGCAATYTTGATGAAAGTATCACATGCCATATCTTGAACACCATCATGGGTTTCTARACAAATGAATATGGACCTGTTAATTCACAATATTTCACMACATCCTTATTCTTTGCACCTACATACCATGCATGAACTCAAAAAGCTTGTTTACAACAGTTTTCAAGAATTTCCAATGCGCTCTAGAAAAAGAAAACAAAATGGATTGATGACAGAGTTTAYTACATCCATAAAAAAACAAATAGTCAATTTAATAACATTTTGAAAACATTTATTGAATTATTAAAGCACCAGCATTTGGATATTCRTTTTGATGGATAAAGGGGGCAATCCCATGATTTTCACAATAATACAAGATTTCTTTACCGTAAAAACCTAGGATATTGTCCAACAATATACATGATATTGGATGCAATGATTGCTTTGTTGTCTTTTCCTCGTTTGATTTCACAAAGACCAAGTAAGTCCTAAAAAAGACAGTAAAATGTTGAAARAGAACTCTGTAGAACATCTACATCAAAATTTCAATGTCTCTCAATCAGCTTTCCTCAACTAGTGGATTATAAGCCTTACCAAGTATGAATRGATAGAATAATTACCTTAATAACAGTAACAAGAAATCTCTTCTCGTCCTCTTCATGCATTGCTCCACTGATTGAACCAATAGCCCAGCAAAGCTGTTGTGTAACAAACAATAATAACTACACAAGATCTGTAATACACATTTTGAAAATATGTAATAACCTCTTTTTTTMAATATCATAATTTGTTGTWATCAAAAGCACTAGCGCAGATTTARTACACAGACACAACACAGCATGGAACCTTGCTTGATAGTGACATCAAATGAATATTTGAAAGATTTAAGACTACATAACTGTCACGAGAATGCTGTAATGTCAGGGTACAGTCTAAGAYGATACAACAATCTTACAGTRTTGAGATTTTTCCATGACCACTCTGTTCCATTCACTTGATTTTGTAGCTTTTCTGTCATGATTCTCTCAGTGTCTTGATAGTCCAAGTGAGTTAAATATACTACAAAAACCAGACCAGCSTTTAGCAAATGGTAGTATAATTTCTTAAATCATTCTCTTAACTACTCACCTAGTGTTTCTCTCATGTTTTTGTATAAGTTGATAGCGTCAGTGTCCTTCATAAATTCTCTCACAACTTCACCTTGATCATTCTCAACAACAAGAACCTAAAAATTTAAATGTTATTATCATGTGTCTTGTATCACTGTATTAAATGAAAGAATATATCAATAAAAAATTCACATTTGTCCTACCTCTTCTGGTTTAGCCATTCTTGAAATCATGATAAGTCGTACCTATAAAAATTATAATCAGATTATTATATATTCCTCTAATGGATTGAAATCATGCATTACCTATGTCTACTATCATTCATGATCTAAATTACCTTGGTAAGTACAGCCAAGTAAAGTTGCCTTCTTGGTGGAACTTGTTGGTTTTGTATCAGCAATGGATTACTGGTAGATGAAAAAGGGTTTTCCCTGTACAGATCTGATGCCAAACTATTCCAGTACTCCAGGCAAATCTTAAAGATTTCTGTTTCTTCCACTTCTGAGATAAGAACAAGGTAATGAAGTGCCTAAAAGAAACAAAAATATCATCTACCAACTGGACAAAAAATGTGCTGAAAATTCACAATCCTGTTAGAAACCTACCTCTAGTAGTGTGGTRTGCAGGTCAACCTAGAAAGAAGATAGAATACATGAGATAAAACAACAAACCTTAAAAAACAGTAATGAAATTGGATTGTGAATTGTGTCAACTAATACTGGATGTTGGAAGGAACAATGTGTRTGTAAACAGGTTTTTGTTAGTCAACAACAAGTAAGATGACCTAACCCTGTTCACTTTTCCATCACCATTTTGATTACTATAGTCATGTGACATGGAAATAACATTTACTGTCTAAAAAGAAAAATAGCAAACATGTATGAACTACCAAAATTGACATTTTCTTAGCCTTTTGTAAAATAAGCATACACAATGATGTCCAAGAAYATTAACATGTCATTTTTACAAAGATGATAGTACACTGCATCATCATGATAGTGATGATATTATCTCTCCTTTTTTTGTTACAATATTTTCATGACTGTTACCTTCTTTTCAACTAAGTTACCATGTTCTTTTAGGAAAGTACAAAGAAACAGACTGAGATTCTGGATGAACTTYTGTTCATCATCTCTTCCATTGGCATAGGCATTATGGATGTTGATAGTTAGTGGCAACATCTGAAAATCATTCAATCMATGGCTGTTAATCATTATAACTTCAAAAACAAAGCATGTAGGAGTTAAATTGGCATTCAATTACAAACATATAAATACATGTAAAATRAGCCCTCCCAATGAATCACCTGTTTCAGTTGTGCCATTGTGAAGGAAAAGAGGTCCAGAAACTGTTCATCATATTGACTTGCATTGATTGCCGCTATACAGTAAAAGATAAAGTAGTACAGTAGTAAGTAACCAATTCCATTGCTTTATAAATGAAGTCAAACTTACCAATTTCTGTGAGACATTTTAAGGTAACATTTCGAAACAAAGGAACATTCAGGAACTGAAGATAGGAATAAAATAGTTWAAGATACAARGTAATGAAGTAGTAATTTATATTGTAGTAATATAAAATGGCTTTAAAATAGCTATTTCCACTTCCTACTCTCCTTATTCAAAGATTATGTGCCAGACACCATCAAAATGATATATAATATTCTAGTTTACCTTGTATATTAGTGTGCTGATTACTTTTGTCTCAAAAATGTAGCCCAGAGGAATCCAGTTGAGAAATTTTAGCAATGTCTAAAAAAGGTATGATAGAGCAATAATTTAGACATTTAAGTGGCAGATTTACGATTAAAACATAACTTTGTAAGTTTAGGATACTTTTAAGGTAAATATCAATAATTTTTAAAATGTCACTGTAACCAGCTTAACATTTTATTTTGCTTTTGGTTTTGACTRAGCACCTGTACAACAGAGCCAACTACCTTAATTATTTTTAGACACTGAATAGTGCCGGTATRCTCWGGGACAGAAACCWTGATATCCTGCACAACACGCAGGTGTTTTAYCAACTGAGCTAAGTGGTTGTAAAGTTTGAGAGATATCCTACCTCAAGAGTAGACTGAACAAGTGTTACATTTTGAGAATTATCCTGTAAAAAATTAAAGAAAAAAATAATAGGTTTCATTCATTATTTTACAAACAATACAATCAATTGATAGAAATAAATCTTACCATGACAAACTGACATAGTGTAAATATCTGAGAGAATTCACTGCACATGCTAAACCACACACAAAAAAGAAAATTATATCAAAAACTAACAGAAAATATAACAGGTAAATAGTATGAGTTCTTTAAATGTACTCATAAGATAGACACAAGTGAATGTCACAATGTGAGCTAAATATCAATGAAGTTCAATTAAGAGCCTGCAGTAGACATACATGTGTAGTCATTGGTTTGATAATATTCTTGGTGGTTGGTCAAGGGTCTCCTAATTCTTAGTTCTTTATGAAGCAAGAATTTTATGTATGTTAACTAACACAGAAAACATCAATGTCAACATAACACACCTGTCCTTCAAGTGTTTTGATTTATTTTGTGTCATCTGACCACTTGAAAAGTCAAAAACTTCTTCACTGCAAGTAATAAAACAACCAATATTTGAAATAAAAAACTATTTAGGACATGACTAATATAAAGATCRTTGCAGACAAAACACTCTGTTARGAMCTAATTTACACCACAAAACATGAAAAAGATTAATTTTTCACACAAATTTTTTCAGCAAGACCYCCAGTATTATTTTGACAATCTTTTGAAAATCAAGTTCCTCTAAACTCCCTTTAAATGAATAAAATACTAAAATGTAGGATACCCTTGAGTAGAGTCGTTATTTATACTGGAAGGTTGTTGTAGACAGACATGTATGACTTTCATATAAACAAACAAAATTGCGTAATACACATTTCAGATTGATGTTACCTTAATAATTTTAAAATAATCATGTTGTTTTGACATAGCGATTCATTGGCTTTGCTTGCACCCACAAGATCAGAGATAAATGTTGGCCATTTTGTGGGCCATTCATGCTTCAAGATCTAGAAAAACATAAAATAAATTACACTTACAAGAAAAACTTGCATATACATTGTATTTGTCTAGAGTTCAACTATCAGATCTTTTAGCATTTGGAAACAACATGATTAAGACTGACAATCTAACGAAAATATGCACACTTCAAAGTTATTAAAATGCTTGACCAGAAAACAAAAATAAATCAGGTGAACTTAAATATAAATCTAAAACTTTTTCGGCWTTATTTTTAAAAGTCTTTGATTACATTACCCAACGTTGCGTCGTCGATTACAACATAGATTTCAAAGTCCCAAATCAACATTTTATATGCATATGCGCAAAGTTGTACGACACCAATCCACAAAATAATTTCATTCCACCATTGTTCTATTTTWACATGTAAGTTATGTTATTGTATTTCTGCATGAACTACTTGTAAATTCCACTTTAAATGTTTTACATTTTGGCGGGAACAAAACGAGAACTCACCTCCACTAGTATCATGTTCAGCTTAGAGAGATAAATCTTCTCTTTCTGAAAGAATAATTATTTTTATGTTTAGTTCATGGTTTGGAAGTATGCCAAGAACATGACATTCTACGAAAAACATTTTTACGTACTTCGACATCTGTAGAGTCTGATGAAATTTTGATTATGAGACCAACAATGTACTTTTTGATTCCTAAGAATAAAAATAGGTATAATCCAAAGTAAACTACTATACAGCGTTTGTTAATCGGAAGATGACTGATATCGATATTTTAATAGTTTTGTTTACTGAATCACAMATTTTGCACTGTGYAGAAAAGAATCCACTCACCCTCACGTTGCTCAGTAGGCAAGATTTTCCAGCGAGTCTTTATAACAATTTCTAAAATCTGTAATGCAAAATACTGAAAGGAAAACAGACAGAACAATAAGTAACATTTTTATAACTGCTTTAAAATAACTCACCATTCTACCTTAGTTTCTTGGTTTTGTGAGAATTCTAAAATAGTGTCAACTCTTGTCCAAGCGTCTGGGTGCTGCTTCAGTTGGGTTAGTATTTCTCCGGCTACTTTTTGCTGAAAAGTACAACTARGAGTCAGATGAAATGCTTCTAGAGTGTACCAAGGCAAAGACATAAATAGTATCCATTGACAAAGGGTAAGACACAAACCTGTGGCCCGAAAGAGCAATAGAACCACGAGACAACACTGTCTAACAAACTGATGTCGAGCTTTTGCGAAAAATCCAAAAGCTGTGAGGCTTGCTCGATCGTGGCCATTGCTGTAGGCATTTGGCTAGTGAATTGGGAGATTTGTTAGGTTAAAAAGGATGTTTTTTAGGTAGAAATTGGTCGTTGTTATTTTGTCGTTTCGTTTACTCTGTCATTCAGTTGCAGTTCAGGTGAACACCGCAGCCAGTTTGCACCGCTTTTCCCGGTTTGACCAGTAAGCGTTTATGAGGTCCCGGATGTAACAGGTTTCTGAGTGTTTTCCCCATAAAACGATAAACAYTGTTGTTGTTTTTATATCACTGAAATAAACAACCACATTCGCCATCTTTGAACGTAAGTAGAATCGAACAATTWGTAAAATGAACGTTTGTGTCCAGAAAGAGCTTGCTCACTGATAAGCGAATTTAGCCGTGAAATTCCTTTCACGGGTCTTGCACGTGGATTATGAATATTCATAAGCTGATCAAGTCAACAACAGTGGGGTTTTCCCTGGGATTTAACACAGGAAACCCATGGTTTGCCAAAATTCTGTTTAAACCTAAAGTCGTTCTGTGGACTTTTGTGTAATCACATACTATATTTACTGCTGCTATACCACTGTAATTAACAAGTAAAAATATTGCTGAAAAGAAACGTAAGTTTTTATTGTTTTAACTTCGTCATTTTCCTAAATGTACACTTCTTTATTTCTGCATTATCGTTATTTATCGATCGCTGATAATTGATTATGGTTTCAGTTTGCTCTCCTTCATTTTATTCGATTGTAAAGCCTTGAATTTTGAAATAAACATTCACTGGAGGACGTAGAGCTCTATACCTGCTTTTCCTGATTAACTTACAAAATACCGGTTTATAATTGGTTAAACCGGCAATTTACAAAATCAATGACATCAGCTGTATCGTTCTAATTTTGCAAAGTCTGTCTGGGGGCATCCAGAATTTTGCTATTAAAACAAATACACTGACGTCATTTAAGGAGGTCACGCTAATAAATTKAGGATCTCCTTTGCGCAATTCCTTTGCATTGTACTTATAAGTCGGAAGTTGGTTTTTGATAAAACAAGCTTGAAATATTTACAACAAAAACAATGAGCTGAAGTATTTGATACAATATTTTACGAAAAAAAATGTTTGATTGTCCAAATTTGTTTGCCCCTGGTTGCCTGAAGGGCGCCCCCTGTGTTAWTAATCTCACCGTGAAGAAAGACAATATGGCGGATCAATGATAAACCATAGTTTCTTTAAGACGACGAAAAAGGACCATAATTTCACTGCCAAAGCGGGAAATACAATCAGGTGACAGACTTCAGACTTCTTATCTAGAATGGACTTGCTATTCGGCTGAAAGGGAACCTTTCATKAAAAGTTTTGTTTTGATCGCACGCCAGCTCGCATGGTTTAACTATGATCTTGTTGAGAAAAAATCATTTTAAGAATCGCAATTACATTTTTCGTGTTTTTTAAGCTTAATAACTTAAGTTAACACGCATTCGAATGGTTTCACAGGTGAATTTAATTTTTGGCCCAACTGCCTCAGATCGCATGCCTCCAGGTCTTTAGGCTTAAAGTTTGAAAGCGATACTTCATTTGTGAACACGTTTTCAATAATTCCCTTCTGTTTTGAGATAAGCTTATTGGATATAAGCTTAAATTAAAGTTATTTTAAAAGTTATAAAGTTAAGCTTGATAAATATATTTCCAGACCTTGCAATGGCAAAATGCGATGGTGAGTTTGACTCGGATATGGATACAAACGCACAGCATCAAACCTTTGTAATTTTGAGTGCAAATGACGATCCAGATAAACAAGAAGACGTAGGTCGGTGYACAGATGGTTTAGATGGTTCTAGAGTCACTAGTTCTCARGACTTTGTCAAAATTGAACAAATAGCAAAAGGTAATTTGATTTACTTGCAAGATTATTTAATTCTATTTCATTTTATTTTCAATTCCCATTTTTTGCTTTCCAGAAGAGTTTCTATTCAACCTTGCAGTCCTCCCCAGTAGGTTGAACATCTTAGCAAGATTCATGGAAGATCATGCATGATCTTACCATAATCTTACATGCTCTTTCCATGATCATACCTTGATCTTGCTAAAACATGCATACCTAACTTGTTAGGTATATAGGGTGGATCGAATGTGTATCAAATTGACTTGTTAGGTATATAGGGTGGATCGAATGTGTATTGAATGTGCAGAGCTTCAATTAAATAAGACTTATCTAGGACTTCCTGACTGAAGTCACAACTTTTTTTGATGTTTTGAACCATAAAAATGCCATTTTCAAGACCAGGTAACATTGTATGAGTCCAATGTTTATACAGAATTTAAGTGACCCTTGATATTTCATCATATCAATAAATTCTAACTCTTGCTTAATTCTTATCAAGACCATGGCAAGTTTATGGCATTATCTTTCCAAGATTTTGGCAAGAAATGTTCTTGCCAAGGCTTTTCCAAGATCTTGTAAGATCTTCCATGATCTTACAAGATCTTGCTAAGATGTTCAACCTAGGCCTGGGTCTTTTCCTTTTCTCTTTATACACCAGCTTAGGTTAAGGCTATACTTTATTCCAAGTTGTCTTTGACATGAAGTTTTGAAATGAGTATCATGTCTGCAAGGTAAAGTTTTATCGTCCTCTTTTACATATTCTTGGTGGAAAAAATATCATTCCATCCATTCCATTTGGGCAATATGTTCCTACTCCTGAATTGTGACCAGAAAATGCATTGTGTAATGAAGATGATTTCCCATTCCTACCCTCAWTTATATTTCTAATTCCCATTGATAAATCGGAAAAGTAAAAAAGTACTTGCAATGAACTTTTATTGAATTTCAGATGATGCAAGTGGCAAAACTGTCAGTCTGGTTGACAGAGAAGACGTCCAGTGCATTGAAAATACAATAGTGGTATCAAGARCAATTGCAAATGATTCAAATATTTATGGTAGACTTCTACTGGCAGAACATGGCTCTCAAGGTAAACGGCTAAAAATTTGAGTTTTTAAAAATTCCCATATATATTAATTTATAGAAAGATTGCCTGTATTGTATCCAGTTTTTATGTAGGAATACTGATGGAATGTGCTGGTGTTTGTGTCAGATATGACATAGGCTAATATGATTTTACATTTTACATGGTTCGCTGTTGTCTTGAGTTTTGAATGATAATTCTTGCCTGTCATGCAAGCTAACAAGATATTGCTACATTTCCAGAAAATCGTAAGCATGTATTATTTATGAAATGCTAAAAATTGATAAATGTTTTGCTTGTGTACAGTGATATTCTATAACCCAACACCTGATTGCACACCTGGACCAATTACAGAAAATGACAAAAGTGTACAATGGTATGGACACTCTCTATTTTCCAATCACAGCTGTATGACATTGACTTTAATATTACTGTAATTTTCAGTGATTCAAATGAATACCAATTTGCCAGTGGACAAGATAAGAAACCTTCAATTGCCAAAAACTACACAAGAAATAGTTCAGGGGAAAGAACATAYGTCTGTCCAGTGGAAGGTTGTGGAAGGAATTTTACATCATCAGGACACTTGAAATACCACCAAAGCACGCACAGTGGAGAAAAACCATTTAAATGCACCCATCCAGGCTGTGACAGGGTGTTTGCTTGGCCTGCACATCTGAAATACCATGTGAAGACACATTCTGGTGACAGGCCATTCAAGTGTGAGGTGGAGGGGTGTGGCAAAAGCTTTTATGTCCTACAAAGATTGAATGTCCATTTAAGAGTTCACACTGGTGAGCGCCCATATATGTGTGAAGTTGATGACTGTAAGAAATCCTTTAGCACAGCTGGTAATTTGAAGAATCACATGAGGATACATACAGGTTTGTCATTAGATTAATGGATGAAAAATAAATGAATAAATGGATGGGAAGAGAAGAAATCAGCAGTCATAGTGATAACCATGAATAGAGAGGGGCGGATAAGGTATATGATCATTATTCACACTGGGATGATATTTACACTGGGATGATATTTACACTGGGATGATATTTACACTGGGATGATGTGTTTGTCTTCAAAGGTGAAAGACCATACATTTGTCCCTTTGTAACATGTGGGAGATCATTCACAGAGCATTCAAGTTTACGGAAGCACAAGCTTCGACATACTGGTGAGAAGCCATATTCTTGTGGGACTTGTGGAAAGACATTCAGTCAGAGTGGTAGCAGAAATGCTCATGAGAAAAGRCATTTACTAGAGAAACCGCCAAGATACAAGAAATCACAACTTACCATGGTTGACATGGAATCAGATAATGGAGAATCTAGTCCTGTGGATGYTGGTAAGATCTGCTTTGATAATGTATGTTTGTCAGACAGAATGAGATCTGTGTGTATGTGCATTACCACCTTGGCAATTAATATTAACCCATTCACTGACTCGTTTTATAGGTGATCAAGAGCCATCTCTTGAATTCACTCCTGAAAAGAGTACTAATGCTGACCACATTGTCCTGGCCCAGCCAATCATTGCTAAGGAAGTATCTATTGAGACAACACCTGTTCATTCCTTGTCTACTGTGGCACAAAATGTTGCTGAAGAGCTAATTTCAAACCAGACAGATGYCATATCACAAACCAGTACATGTGTTGTATCTTTGGCTGAAACAGTGGTTGCACAACAAGCTCTTCTTCAGTCCATGTTAGATGGAAGTGCAGTAATACCTCCWGTGTCTCAATCAGAATCATCTGATGATCTCTCAGTTGTTGACCATGCACTTCAACACCAAGATGTAGAGCAGATTATGCAAAGTGTTGTAAGCCAGCATATTATAAATGGTCAAATTCAATTACCCATTAGTGGAGATGTTGCTAGTGATCAGGGAACTTTGAATTTTATTGCACAAAGTAATGATTCACAAGATATTGTGCTAAGCCATTCAGAGCATGAAGAAAGCTCTTTGCCAAGTGATGAAGAAACAGTTATAGTTCAGTCAGAAACAAATCAAGATACATGATGCAAAACTGGTATTCAATGCCACTGGAGCTACATTTTTTTCAAGGATTAGAATATGCAACTGCTGATGGATGCATGTATATTTACTGTTATCGTGTTAAATAAATATTATTCTGCACACACATTTGTYGTTGCATCAGTTTCAGCAGTGGGAGTATTTGTTCATCATTGGAATACTTAGTCGATACCAATTTTTGGCAATTTTTGGACTATTTTGGTAAATGATGTTCATCTGGACATGTAATAACTATTAGTTCCGAGTAGTCATTAACACTGAACCAGAACAGTTTATTTGATCCAATAAGCAATAGCCAAGAGACCACTATAACAATCAAATTAATCCCTTTGTACTGTTCTGGTTCAGTGATAGTCGAAATAGTGCCTATTGGTTACGAAGTATTTAGTTTCTATTTCATGSTTCAAGCGACTCTGCTCTAGTATATATGAATATTATACAGGTGGGGACCACTGTTTTCGTTTTACCTAATTTGCAYAAAAGTCAGAAATCGAATTTCAAGCCCAGAGCAGAGAAACCAGGTTTTGTTAAGATTGAACTACGTCATTGTAGCATTCAATACCATCTTGCTTCAGGTTCATGTTTAAGCACAATTAAGTACTACTTAGATTTTGTAAAGTTGCATAGTGCAATCACTCTAGTCAGATACACAAAACAATGCAATTAAGGCAAAGAGTGATCACACTTAATCYATGCAACTGTACAAAATTAAAGAAGTACTAATTTGTACTAAATTAAATTTGCTTACCGCATACACGATTTACTAAATACAACTAAATAGCACTACTTATCTTGTACAGTTGCACGGAATATCTATTTCACAGGTATTTTTACTTCACTAACAAGGTCCCTGAAATTTATTCTTTTGTAAAACCAATAGCTCAAACCTCAYGAGGGCCTGCATGTTGAACTAAAAATTAATGACACTACAAATATTTTCAAATTACTTTATTGAAAGCAAAAAGAAATATTTTTAATGACWTAAGTTGATATCCTTAATAACACCATGGCAATGAGTAACAAAAAGAGACAAAAATGCCGTGAATATTGTTGAATTCTTGGTCTGTTTGAAGTGCAGATTTGTTTACTAGKTTACTTGTATGATAAGTCTGAATAGTGTTTGTTTAGTGCTGCCTGCCAGCTACGAAAAACCAGAGAAAAACCCTTTTAGGGAAAACACTGGAAACGTAGGCCTGGTCTGATGCATTACAGCTAAGCACCCAGGCTCGTGCTTTGAATGGGTTAATTTACAAGCAACTAAGTGAAAAAAATTCCGCTAAGGTTTTGAGCTGTCTTTCTCTCCATTTCTCTTTCTGACAAGTGTCTATCTCTTCTCGCTGTTTCTTTCCTTGACTGTTTTCTGACTCTTTTCAAACGGATGACCTCCCCTTCTTAAATTGCTTATTGTGAATTACTTTTCATTCCCTCTGGTCAAGCTGCCTTTTATTCCCACTCATGAATTCTTCTGCCTCTGTATGTCTCGTCTGTTTTCCTTTCTCATCATTTGCTAAACTTTCTKTTCTCCCTAAAGAAAAAACAAAAACCTGTTAATTCAATTCACAAGGTTTACTTTGTGCAGTGTTCAACTTTACCTATCCTTCAGCACCACTTGCTAACCACATTCATCTTCACTCTTACTATCTCTTCTTCCATGTACCAATCTACAGGAGATCAAGAAAATGCTTATTACAACATTCACAATTTTATTCGTCAAACAATAATCTTACCCATTCATTTTCCTGATGAGTTGACAAGTCCTCTTCTCACACCTTCAGTCTATTTCCCTCTTCTCCACCTCTACACCAATTCCTTTATCTTTCAGCCCCTTTCACTTATTCACCTTATCTCCATAACCCTAAAAAAAATAAAAAGTCAGTTTTTGCTTGTATTCAACTAGAAAACAACTGATGAAAACTCACCTCCTTCCTTCTTTAGAGCTCCTGCCAAATTCCTTACCAACATCCATCACATCTACAAACGAAACCCCTTACCCCCCATACATCCTTATAATATGTAATATCTACACCTTACATATATCTTACATTAACTAACCCTAGAGCACTCAACCCAGTGAAACCAGCTGCATGTACTTTTTAGTTATTTAACTAGGCATAGCATGAAATATAAACATTACTATTACATTATAGAAGTCTAAAAACAAATGACACCAATACTTTACATGACATATTGAACAGATCTGTTATATATACAAAAATTAAAATAAATCACACTAAAATTACAATGACTAATAAGACAAACTGTTACACAACATAAGTCTTACATATCACCAGAATACTTCCGATTCCAAATATCTCTGAACTGCTTCCATAGTAGTATTAATTTTGATAGTGCCTGTTAAAAGTAATAGAAGCACACTGCTAACAAGAGACCCTGAGGGTCATAGTAAAGTTACGAAGTAGATGRTACAATTTTGCTTACCTAAACTCAAGGCAACTACCATAATATACTGAAGATTAAATGAAAGTAACAAACCATCGCAAAATACGAATTAATTTAAAGCAATTTTGCTTACCACTGGTTTAGGGTTTACAATGTTAGTTGATTTTAGAACTGAAGATTCAATGACAGTAACAATCCGTAACAGTAAAATCTCAAAAGTAGCTTACCGCAAATTTGACCATTATTTGATACTGAAGATTTAATCAAATCAACAATCTACTACTGCATTATCTCAAAACAAAGTTGCTTACCATAATGTGAATTGTTTTGTTGTTTTTTATCACTGAAGATTAAAATAAAGTAACAACCCATGGAATGACATGAAAACAAAGTCAAAAATTCTTACCAAATATTTTGTCGTGTTTGTCAGTTTTGTACTGATGAGATCAAATGAACAATGCATGACGAGCAATAAAATTTAAAACTCTGCTTACCCATGGTTGAAAGCTCAAAGTGTARGAGTTTGAAATCCAAAACCAAAAATACAACCATAAATGCTGATCTTTTTATATCGAATSACMCTTTACTGAAGATTTAATGATAATRACACGTATGGTACATAGATACCAGAAAAAAACTTACATCTGTTGTACTGTAAAAGCCATCTTCTATGCAATTGCCCGGCCTGTTAAATAGTTAACCAAAACATACATGGTACCATGCAAACATACACTCATCTATGATCACTCATTATGACAAATAGGTACTGTCATGAAACTATKTACATATAAAAACCTTACTAAAAGTTGCTATGTTAGAATTATGAAATATTTTTTCTCAAAAACTGAGAGTAGTTAACTCTAAGTAATGAATCAAATTGCTTACTTATCGCTACCTCTAGATAGCAGCTACTTCTCAAATACCTAAATTTTTACTTGGATTGCTGACGGCTGCACCTATAATATACTGTTGAAAGGACAAAACAAAACTCCTACAACTACAATGTATGTATGCTAGCTTACCAAAACATCAGACTACAAAATAATACTTGTATGAATAGTGCCATGAAACAAAAACTTTTCAGACTGGAAACTACAATATCATGAAGGCAAAAACACAATGGACACATTGGAATACCAAAGATATGGAGTGTGACTTAAACAGTGCACCCACAACTAGGGAACCATAACTGCTTACGTGACGGATGATTAAGTTCATCAATACAGTTTAGTCAGCCGAAGTTTGGAGTCAGGATGGTTTCGTATAGGATTAGGCAATTCTTATGTTACAGGAACACAGGTTAAGTGGTGCAGTGCTGGATTACTTTTCTGTTAAGGTTGATCTCATTATAAACTTATGGTTAGGCAGTTCTTGCTCAGGAATACAGTTAAGGTGTTTCAAGTAGGTCTGCTTGGTTTAATGCTTATGTGGTTCTCTTACAGGACATAGTTTAGGTGATTCTGGCCATTGGCATTAACAGTGATTACTTTCTACTCTTTCGTAAAGAAGTTGGGCAATATTCATACTTTGACTCTTGGTTAGTAGGACGTGCATTACAGAGACAATCTGTAGAAAATAGAATGCAGACTACATACAAAAACTAGAGACCCAAAGGGCCATTAGAAGTTAAATTGCTTACTTGAAAGCTTACCAATAATCTTTTACCATCTGATGTGTTACATAACATGTACATTATCTTAGGTTTCACTGTGATGGCTAAGTACTGCTATGTCTTTGTAAAAAAAAAAAAGCTTCGGTTTACATTCCTTCTAGTGCTCCACAAATGCCTGGTTATTGGTTAGAATGCTGCTGGCTTAATCCATAGTAACAATGTGTTTGAAATAACAGGGTTGATGAATGAAGATGCTCACATTCACGTACAAGTGAAAATRACAAGTATTCAAAGTTTGTGCTTGGATGGTAACAATTAACGAACACCACAAATAGATACTGCCACAGAATTCCACAGTTGAAAAAAACAGACACTTYTCACAAGTGAATGAACTTTACCAGAGACACTGCGAAGACAGTGAACACACACACCAATCTTAAATTGTTCTTTGTCACTCTACATATACTTCGGAGATTTAAGCGTTATGGCCAAACAATGCTGATACCTCTTGATAAATTTGCCTGATTCATTGTGGATCTTGCTATCTGCTATAACATGATAAACACATGCATACAAAAAAAAAACAAATCATCTCAGAAAAAACTTTGCTTACCGCTTTTTAGTTGTCTACTTACAGAGATCCAAGAAACTCACAAATGAACACAAACAGTCAAAAAGGAAATCATGTATGTTGCATAACAAAGCTTTCATCTTAGGATTACTATTGTACTTGTGCAATTCTACTGGAATCTACATGTAGTGATCCGGATTCTCAAAATTTCTCATCAAGTGCCTCACCAGAAATTTGCTGCAAGAAAAATTATGTAACAAGCACAATGGACCCAAATGGGTCAAAATTAAAACACATCCTTACCAGATATCAGTTTTGGTTTGAAAAGTTTCGTAAATCAAGTGGTCAAAACACCTAACCCACATGTCTGGCACTGAGGTCTGGCACTGAGTAATCATTCTTGGGGAAATGCTGCTCTAAAAACTGCTCATGTCAAAGGAGATTTGATGTTTCTTGCGCTTACTCTTTCAGTTGGGATGCTCAATTTGTAAGTAGAGCTTGGCTGCCAATCAAGAAAACYACCAACCCTCCACGCAAAATACGTAATTGAGAATGAMAGGAAACTCRATATTGAAGGACTATGATTTGTTAGACCTGACAAAGAAAACCAAAATATGCACCACAAAAAGAATATGGTTTTAACAATACCTCACATGTTAACTATTTCACTTGARATTGACCTGGTCTTTTATGACTTATCCTTCAAGCAAGCATGACAAAGGCACATGGCAATGATCGTTGGCGTGATATTTCACTGTAAATTGCTAAGGAATCTTTATGGTTGGAACTCTCAAGACTTTAGAATGCCACAAATTACACAGTAACTTTACTGGARTGAATATGGTTTCAAGGTGACAAAACACTTGCATCTTTTGGYTATGCATTGGCTAACTTCCTTGATTTAGTAATCTTCATAGAAACTGGACATTATTCATCGATTGGCTTCAAAGGAATTTTCTGCAATAATAGGAAACACAGAGGCCTACAATGGACCCAAATGGGTTATAAGAAACTAAAACATCGTCTTACCAGACATTCCTGAACTGGCACGATTTCATAATAAAGCTGCTGGAAAATCAAGAATGGTACTACCATTTCACAGAACAAAAACTACCAGCTGCTCAGGTTTCGATGTTGCTAACTATTGCCAAAGAGYGAAAGTCTTTTGGATTGTTGTTAACATTCTGCACTCTAAGAAAACGCTATCGCCACAGATTCATTTTTCAGATACAGCCGTCTCATTTGAGGTACACTGTTGGACTGCTACCACTGACACCAAAAAGTTGGAAAGTGAAGATTTAACTGGGAAGTCAATATTGAAGGACTGTGCTTTATTACAAGCAGACCTGGCAAAAACAAATCAAACACCACAAAAAAGAATGCAAGGTGGCTGGAATGATACCTTACAACTGGAAAATTTACATGTTCTGGACTTGATTACACACTTATGTCTTAGTCCTGAGGCAGAAAACATAACCGGACAAAAAAATGAGGACTCCATATGGCAATGGCTTTAACTTTTCATGGTTTAACTTGTTAGCTCGCTTTATGATGGAACACTCGCAAATGATAGCTCTAACTGTAACTTATGGTTGTACATGAAGTGGTATGGCTTGGAAGTGAGAGCTTGCAATTCTTGCATCCTTAAGATATTACTAGGCAACACTACTTTCACTTCTCATTTGTCTATTACAACAAATTTGCTGAAAGAAAAAAGGAAAACACAACCGTAATCCTGACCCAAAAGGGTCAAAATAAAATTAAACAGCCTTACCACAGGTTTTTCTCATCAATTTGGTARCAAGCTGAATAGTTTTTCTTCGCAATCTGTAAATCATCGATCTCAAATACTTGAAGAGCTCAAAAATCCCYACATTTTTTAAAGGAAACAAAATGCTACTGCTGAATAAGAAGACCTCTCGAAGGGAATTGGTTCTTTTAGAAAACCACTGCCACCAAAATAAAAGGTTTGGCTTACACTAATACCACGAACAACCAATTTTTTGAAAAATCCACCAAAATTGCAAGACTTTCTTTGAAAATCAACTGTGGAACTAATGTTTGTCAAGATCAAACCTGTCAAAAGAAACCAAAACATCCAAAAAATTCCCACATGCCCGGCATGATGCTTTAAACACTAGGAACTTTAGACTTCTCATACTTGAAAATATGCCATTCAACTTGTTCATCTCTATAGTATACTAATTGCCAACTTGATCGAGATCAATGAAATTCTGGTACACAAGTTACTCTTTTCAGACCAAGATTATTATTACCGAGGAATATGTTACCAAGAACTTTCCGCCTCCTTACATCAATAGAACAAAAATGTTTTCTGTAAATGGAAATAGGAGCATGCACCAAGGAAATACACAAATGGCCATTTTACTTTGAAGTTTATCACATCTTACTTTGCTTAAACTTGTAAACCAAAATTTGATTGGCACTTTAGACTCAACTGGTATTGCTTTTGCCTAGAATCTTAGGGAAGTCACCAATGATCGAGGGCTCTGTACACAAGAAAAATACACACACCACTATACCAAAAATTGGAAAATGCATTTAGCTTACCAAGTGCTTCAAAGCTGTGTTTGCTTTAGAACTGCCGAGTCAAGAAGACCACATGGCTTTGGAAAACTTTGTCGGCAATGTTGCATTATATTAGACGATTTCATAGTCCTAAACCACTACTACATGAACCACAACTACTTTAGACTTAAATGAACTTGACATGGCTTACGTGTTGAAGATTTTAAGTCACACTCGGAAATTTTATCATTTGCTACATTGGATCCTGGTAATGGAAGCCAAAACACATTGACGACATCAACTCAATTAGTGCTTACTTAGAAGTTGTAACTTTTCTGTACTCTTTCCCAGAAGCCAAAACATCCCTGTAGTAAGACTTTGTCAACATTTCTAACCCTTAACTGGACTCTGATTTTCTTGTCAACTCTTTTCACAATCACTAGGCAAGAAAGAATTACCACATACAGACCCAAATGGCCAAAAACATCTTACCACTCTCCTTCTTTTTCTTATTTCTAGATGCAGAGTAAAACTACTATCTTTCCATTTAGTGTCTCGATAGATATCTTAGTTGTGTTGTCGTCTGTTAGGGATGTGTAGTGCTTATCGTGGAGGAAAAGGTCATCCTACAAGTTGGTTGTATTAACTATGCTGGATAGGTGATTTAAGATGGCAATACTATCGTCTTACTATTACTTGTCAGCTTTTTCTTACTAATTGACTGTATCTGTGTCTCGTCCATTATCAGCCGATTTTCTTTTTTGGTGGATACTTGCGCTGCAAGTCAAAGAAACAAAGCACACCAACCCAGCCCCATGACACTTCACAAAAAATAGCTGATAGTCGCCAGTCATTTTAACACTTTATGCACATCTCATTCTCTAAGCTAGGGACAAGGATAAAAGGACCACATTCTATTCTCTTTCTCTCTCCACTTTGAACAAGAATTCCTAAGGTTATTCCATTATGGGCAGAATATTTCTTAGACAACTTATCAAATAGTCGCAGATCTTGAACAGCTCTAGCATCTTTCGCATGAAAGTCCTTCAAGAAATGGCAAAGACAAAACGCATACACCACATGCTTAAGGTTCTTCCTCCTTTAATCTATCTTGCATCCATTCCTGCCAAACCTCTCCCACACACTCGCTCTTCAATGCAGGCTTAAGCTAGCCGAAACGACCAACACCTCATAAACTATATTGTTTGATTATTTGCTGTCCACAAACGAGATGGTACTTAATCAAATAGGTTTTACCAGTGATGTTTAGATTGATTTCATGGCCTGAAGAATGAAATTCTTATGAACTTGAATGCTCATCCTGAAAGATGAAAAAAAGATGCAACCCCAATCGAACCCCCTATTTGTCACTTAAATGCCATAGTCTACATTTCACTGTTTACTAATGTTCATGATGTCTTTATAGAAAGTCTGAAGCAACTAAACCTTCAATATCTTCACCAAGATTTCCAGGCTATTTCCATTAGATGGCATATACATTTTGAGCTGAAACTCTAAGGAGAATATGCACATATTCTACAAATATTGCAGTGTATGAGGGATAAAATGTAACCTTTTGCAGGCTTGCCTCAGAAGGTACTTCAATATGAAGGAATGTCTTCCTTGTAGTACTTGACTTATCTTGAAAGAAAAAGACAGACAAAACAACCCACCCACCCAGTATAATCGAATGCATTTACAAAAATAAATTTCCAGCTTGCCTGTTTCTTGAACACTTGGCCATAATGATCCAATGGATGGAACTAAAAACTAAGCGTAGCACTTGTTTGGAATACATGGCTTAACCTTACTCTATTCTCCACAACATATAAGCAAATGCAGCCTGAACAAAAATTCCAAGAAATATCTGTGGGTTGAGTGCTCTAACTGATGTACTACATATTCTACTCTACAAATAGATTCCTGTGTTAACAACTTCTTGCATCTCTTCAAGCCATCACGCTCTTTTTGGATCAATTAATCTGTTGTCTTTGGATCACTGTAGTATCAAGAGAATCAACTTTTAATTGTCAAATACATTCTTTGATACTGATAAAATGTTTAGGAAGCACTTTCACTGCATTATGATTGAAACTTACACTGCAACAGAGAATCAATGACGTGACGAAGCTCTGGACTCATGTCACTTCAAAGATCCTTTCACTCAAGCTCACTCTGAGGAAGAAAGGCACAAAACTTCAACGCTATATTACATGTACTTAACACTCTCGTTTTGATATCAATGTAAAAATTCTCTACTTTCTACAAATATTTGTTTCATGTATTTACAAAAGTTTCACTATATAAAATTAAAATTCTAAAACCCTTCAGAAAGATTTATTTTTCCTCGACTTGAGATTTCGTAATATCCATTTCTGATACTTCAGTAGATAAAACTGAGTCTGTATCTGATGAAACATTTCGACCTTGAGGTTTCCATCTACTTAGTTTCCTGAAAAATTCATCAATACCTAGTAGATCGTCGTCATCTTTTCGAGAACTCTTCATGTTCCAGCCGACGCCATTGGATCCATCGTGCCATTCGTATGCTTCGCTTTTTCGGCGTCGCTTGGCTTTTCTATTGCATCGTTCAGTGATTTCATCGTTTAGTCTCTGAAGAGAAAATTCAAGTACAGCAGCTCTGTAAAAATCCATGTGTTTACTTCTTTTAACAGTTTTCTTTTTCTCTAGCGAGGACGAAAGAATTGACCAGAGTTCTTTGTCGGATTCCGAATAACGCTTGGTACGCTGATATCGCTTCACTCCTCCACCGCACATATTCTTCACAATTAATCTATTAAACGTCTCTAGAAACTAAGCTAAAATTGCTAAAACAGCAACTTTACACTTCTAGATTTGCTTACTTCGTGGTTTTGCTGTTGACGTTTACTTTTCTTGCTTGGTCAAAGTCGAGGGGCTTGAATCCTTTAAAAGTAAGAATGGACTTGAAAAATATTCGCTTTCAACCGATAAAACAATGTCACATAATTTTCAAGTTGAATTAATATGAATGCTTTTGCCGTTTCTGCCTTGTCTTTTGAAACAAATATGGCGTTGATTCTTCGTTGCCTTCAAGTTAGAATGAAAATCTTTCAAATGTCGTTAATTTTCTTTTTTTGTAAAAATCTTATGTCTTGAGCAATTCTAAACTTCTTTTAAGTCATAGGATTCAAAATGGGTTAAAATTTTTACCAATTTTCTGGACAACACGCTCTAACTTCCACCTTCGCATCGATGCCCCAGCGCACTGACAATCGCTTCTTGAAACGCAACAAACATTTGTTTACCACACCAGTAAAACCAGTCAAAACCGGTTTTACTTCTTCTTTTAACCAATGAAATTGAAGTAATTAGAGACGGATGAAATATTTGACCAATCAGCGATAGGGCTATTACGTCATAATAGTGACGTTGTTGTGACGCTAAACGAGAAAGGATTCTTTGCACGTTCAATAACTTAAAAATAGAACACGCTCAATCGATCGAGAAAATCCCAAGATGTCAAAGATCGGCATTAAAGTGGCATATGCACGCACATAAATTTTTTACAAACATACTCATGCCTTACATTTGCTCTTACTACTTTTCTAAGAAAAGACACAGAGACCTTGATGGATATATTTCCAAAAATCTCACTTAATCCACGAAACAAATATTACTATTAAATTAGGTACTAGAGTGCTCGCACTAAATGCGTGAAATATAAATACTACAAAATAGGTGATAAATTATACAAATTCCTTTGTTTCCTATTGTATGATCAACACTATTTARTAGTAATTAGTACTATTTGTTTCACGCTTTAAGTGCGAGCACTCTACTAAAGTATTTTGATTAAACAGTAGAAAACAAAGGAATAATAAATTTTTGCTATCATTACACACAAAAACAGGAAGTGAATAAAAATTCAAAATAACACATATTTCATGAAACAGTTTATTTCACAAACTGAAGCTGCACATGTGATGGGCAAGCTTTCATAGATTTCACTTTTAAAATTAAGTTACTATTATAGCTTACCGAGATAACAAAAACAAATGTACTAGAATTTAGACTAATACATTACTGAAGGAGTCACTGTACCTCCTTATCAGTGTGTGCATTATGACTTGACTATTACATTTTATTCTTTACTCTAATCACTAATCTTCAAGTCAATTTGATGAGTAAAACCTAATCTCTACATGCAAAAACTGACCTGAAAACTTTCTGTGTATAAGCAGTTTAATTAAAATTGCTAATTGAACAATAACAATATATCAGTTATCTTTTGTTATTAAACTATGTGTTTCTCCCACAATACTCTGTGTAATATTACTATTATTCTTTTGAAAATAAAATTTTAGTGGCACTTCCCACAATGTTAGATGGATGACACTTTATTTTCGGCTGCAGCTTTACCCTGTAAGCAAATCAAAAGGCTTTTATCCAATAAGTAAGTGCAAAATCTACCACAACGGGCAGCCTAATTCTCAATAATAAATTATTACATGCAAAGACATGGGTATGGTTTTATTTAAAGAATATAACAGAGAACAATAAGTGCACATGATTTTAGAGTGGTTTTCCTTTAAAAGAAAAACACCATCTAATTTTTTCTAGTCAAATTGAAGAGAACACAAAAGGTTTGATGACTACTAACAACTATTAGTTTGGTTTCCAACTTAAAGGAAAATCTCTCTAATACAGTGTTACAAATGCAACATATTCATCTCTAAAGCATAAAACAATGCATTGAAAGCTTTTTATTTGTTAATGGTAAACAAAAATATGAGATGCTGTGCAAAATAAAGAGTGGTTAACCTACTTACAGCTGCAGTGTGTGTTAATGCTTGACAGGGCTAGTAGCAGTCTGGTAATAAAAGCATGTATGAATTGAGCACATCAAATTTGCCATCACTCAAATTATTCTATACGTGATAGCAGCTTTGAAGCAAGCTTTTTTAAGAAAATTATGAACAGTAAAATTAAATATATGTGAATTAACTTAGAAATAATCAAATGTATTCAGCTGTTAAAAAAAATCAGTTTAAAAAAATTATATTGAACAAAATTGCCTTTGTAACACACATGTCAAGAATTAAGGCATTGCAATTTAATAAAGTTTTTGGCTTACTGAAAAGTAGTTTTGCCTCTTACTTACATCGGCCATTGCTTCTGCAACATCTTTTTCAATTTGTTGTGACCTAGTCATCTCCTATTTGAATCAAGTCTAGTCAATTCAAAAGTGCTTTGGACATTGAGATTCAAAAAATCACTTACAGATTCTTTAGCCTTCTTTAGTTCTGCTTTTAATTCTTCAATTTCTGTCTTGTAGGCTTGGATTAGTTTAGCCTGACAATATGGGATAAGCTTATGTAAGTTATGTTTACACAAGAAGAATTTAGAATTTATGTGCTTCTGCCAGAGCTTTCCTATGATCTACATGTATTATTGGAACATTTCTTATAATGATTCCTTGATTTCAAGGCAAAGATTGTTTTATGGAAACCATAGTACCATGTCAGAAACTGATTACTATACTTAGTTTTTGCATCAAATACCTCTTCCTTGTCTGCAATTTTACTTTCTTTATCTTTCTACAGAATCAAAAGACAAAACAAAAAGACTTGTGATCAATGAATAGAAGCTTTGCAAAGCTGATATTATCTTTCTCTAAGGTAGGAATTATGATGATGCTGGCATTGCAGGAAGAACAAAATAAAAGTAGTGCAAATCAAACAGCAGCAACTATTAACAATCAATCATTATTTTCTGGTACAGGGTTTGTTTACTAGGCATTAATTTTAATCCTTACTTTCATAATTCATAATGCTATTTACACGAACATCAATATTTATTTATTAACTGTATAATGTAATTCCAATACCAGAACTCTTGTTATTGGAATCTTATGTAAGTATCATTGAAAAATGTTCATTCCAAACTAAATTGCTTTCCATCCAAGGTTGCAATAAGATGACTAGCAATGCATTTTGGTAGTGGAATTAACTATACAGCAATACAGAATACAGTACTCAAAGTCTCTTGAAATTGTATGTAGAATTGATGATTCTATTGATTATAGTTTGAATCAAAATATATATGATCAGTTTCTGCACACACACACATCCTCTCTTTTGGCTGAAGAGTTAAAATCCAGATTGTTTGTCTCCTATAGCAGGAGCCTACATAATGTTTAGCATATTACATGTAGTAGATTTGACCAGGGTTTGAAATTAGACATTAGTAATTTTCACACACACACACACTCATTACACAAAAGAAGATCCTGCAATCTATGGAGTTTAATGTTAATGAGTCAAAAGTTTGGTAATTCTGGACACATGGTTAAAAGAAACTCGTACAAACCTTTGAACCATGTGTAAGTTTGCTAAATGCCCCCTTGATGCCTTTCTTTTTCTTCTCAGGGCTGTCACTGTTTATTGATTCCTGGTTTGGTTTTAATTCAAATTGGCATAAATTAATTCAAATGTTAGGTTTGGATAATATTAAGAACATTATTAATATTTTTTGATTTTATTTTCAGCATGTGCTATGGTCAAATTACATAGGGATTTACATTCTGGCCAAAGTGTACAAAGACTGTAAATGAACAACCCCTACTTATAAATATACACCTCAGTCTATATCATGACACAAAAACAAATATCAAAATGGACTAATAGTAGTTTAGTGTTTGTATACTATAATGTCAATGTTAAAGTCTATTTAATATTGTCATTAGTAACTTTATCTAGTAAGAGTGGGATTACATTTCAATCCATTTTTAAACATGCTGCCGGGGACAAAGTGTTAATCAAACGTGCTAAAAACTAGAGTTGATCAGTCGCATTTAAAGATGTTTATAGAACCCTTCACCAGAAAATAAATTTCTTTTACACCCAATACAGCATTAGCTATCAAGCAGTTGTGGTGAAATGATAAAAATCATATTATTAGGAAACATTATCATGATTATAATAATTGGATGCTTGCTTCATGGGTTACGCATGATTTGAACACATTACATGTTCAATGTAGTATGGAATAAAGCAATGACAATCCAGTATT